TATTGTTTTTGTTTTTACTTATCTTTATGTGGTGAATCATATATGTTGATTTGTGTATGTGGAACCATCCTTGCATCCCTGAAACGAAACACACTTGATCATGGTGGATTATGTTTTTGATGTGCCATTGAATTCAGTTTGCTGGTATTTCTTGAGGATTTTTGCATCTATGTTCAAAGGGATATTGTTCCGTAGTTTTCCTTTTTTTGTTGTGTCCTTTCATCGCTTTGGCATCAAAGTACTACTGGCTTCATAGAAAGAGTTAGGAAGGGTTCCCTCTGTCTCAGTGTTGTGGAACAGTTTCAGTAGAATGGGTTCCAATTCTAAGTCTGGTAGAATTCAGCTGTGAATCCATCTGGTCCAGGGCTTTTTAAAAAAATAAATTATATTACTGTTTCAGTCTCACTACTTGTTATTGGTCTAATCAGGATTTCTGTTTCTTCCTGATTCAGACTTTAAGAGATTGTGTGTTTCCGTGAATTTATCCATTTCCTCTAGGTTTTCTAGTAGTCACAGATAATATTTTGTGTTTCTGTGGTTTCAGTTGCAATGTCTCCGTTTTCATTTCTGATTGAGTTTATTCGAGTCTTTTCTGTTTCTCATTAATCTAGCTAGTGGTCTATCGATTTTGCATATCTTTTCAAGGAAAGAACTGTTTGTTTCATTGATCCTTTGTATTGTTTTTTCTGGTTTTTATTTTGTTTAGTTTTGCTCTGAGCTTCGTTATTTCTTTCCTTCTGCTGGCTTTAGGTTTGATTTGTTCTTCTTTTTCTAGTTCCGTGAGGTGTGACATTGGGTTGGTAATTTGTGATCTTTCTGTTTTTTTGATGCAAGTATTTAAGGGTATGAAATTTCCCCTTAGCACTGCTTTTTCTCTATCTCATAGGTTTTTGGAAGCTTGTGTCACCTTTGTCATTCAATTTGACTTTTTATTTCCATCTTGATTTTGTCAATAATCCAAGGATCATTCAGCAGAAGGTTGTTTAATTTCCATCTATTTATGTAATTTTGAGAGTTTCTGTTGGAATTGATTTCTAGTTTTATTTCACGGTGGTCAGAGAAGATATAAGGTATGATTTCAATTTTTCTAAATTTGCTGAGATTTGTTTTGTGGCCTAACATGATCTGTCTTGAAAAATGTGATGAGAAGAATGTGTATAGTCTGCAGTTTTGGGATAGAGTGTTCTGTAAATGTATATTAGGTCCATTTGTTGTAGAGTTCCATTGAAGTCCAGTGGTTTCTTGTTAATTTTCTGCCTCAATGATCTGTTTAATTCTGTTAGTGGAGTGTCAAAGTCCCTGGCCGTTATGATGTTGCTGTTTATTTATTTCCTTAGATCTAGTAGAATTTGTTTTATGAATCTGGGAGCTCCTGTGTTAGGTGCATATATATTTAGTATTGTTATATCTTCTTGTTGACTCGACCCCTTTATCATTATATAATGACAATGTTTGTCTTTTTTTTTAACATTATTGATTTAAAGTCCACTTTATCTGATGTGAGAATAGCTACTCCTGCTTGCTTTTGGTTTCCATTTGCATGGAATATTTTTTCCATCCTTTTACCTTGAGTCTATGAGAATTTTTGCTAGTTAAATGGGTTTCTTGGAGATAGTATATATTTAGGTTGTATTTTTTAATCCATTCAGCCAATCTACATCTTTTAAAGGGGGCATTAAGACCATTTATATTCAGTGTTAGTATTGATATATGAGATATTGTTCTGATCATCACTTTGATTATTACCTAGTTGCTTTGTTCTCTGCCTTGTGTTACTGTTTTATGAGAGCTGTGAATTTTAACTTTTGGATTTTACACTGGTAGGTATTAATTATTCTGTTCCATGTATAAAACACTTTTAAGCATTTCTTGTAGGGAAGATCTAGTGGTGACAAATTCCCTTAGTGTTTGCTGGTCTGAGGAAGATTTTATTTCTCCTTCATTTATGAAACAGTTTTACAGGATATGAAATTCTTGGCTGTCAGTTATTCCGTTTAAGAAGGCTAAAGATAGGACCCCATTCCTTTCTGGCTTATAAGGTTTCTGTTGAGAAGTCTGCTTTTAGTCTGATGGATTTTCCCTTGTAAATTACTTGATGTTTTCATCTCATGGCTCATAAGAGATCCTCCTTAATGTTGACATTGGCCAGTCTGATGACTGTATGTGTTAGTGATGCCATTTTTGCAGTGAA